GCTTCTAACCTGATTCATTAACGAAAAGCAGTGCCAGAAGCACAAGTCCAATCTTCTTTCAGCAGGTCCCCACTTGTACTGGAAACGTGGGAACAACGAAAAGGGACTGACTTGTTTCAGCCTTAACCAAACCATGGTTTTTCATCATACAAACCTGGTTACTTAAAACATGTTGATTCTTTTCTCTATAAATAGAGAAGCATTTGCAAGCTCACAAAAGGACTTTTTGGCCAGAGGAACGAATCTCCAAAATTTTCTCAAACAAAATAAAGCTCTAAAACACAATAAGTTCTCAAACACTTAAGTACTTGTGAAAAATAAAAACCTAGAATCTAACCTCTTTCGATTCTGAAAATTCCCACACACTTTTGTTCCCCTTCGAATCCAGCAAGAAAGACACTTCATTTGTTTTTCTTTCGAATCCAGCATCAAAGGCCTAACCTCTGGTCCCTCCCTTCGAATCCAGCAGCATTCAAGGAAACCACCTAAAGGCCTAGCACACGTCTCAACCTCAAGCAAGGTAAGTCATCCTTAACCTTAATTCCTTCGTTTCTAGCACAACATGTAAATAAAACTCTTTTTTTGTTCAAAACACATACATAGCATTTGTTCCCCTTTCGTTTACACCCTTATAGTTTACTTTATTGCCTTTCCTTTTGGTTCTGCTCTTTGGTTTCTTACAAACATTTTAATAACTAACTGGCCCTAAGGCAGTGCTAGCATGGCCTTGGGCCATGTTGCTATTTAACATCTCAAACGAAAGAAACAGGAAATAGGAAGCAGGAAATGAAACCTCTGGCTTCCACACTAACCTCCAGGTCAAACGAAAGAGGAAACCAGAAGGCACACCATGCTGACTTCCAGACCCAATTGAAAGTCACAACCTGCTGACCCTTCAGGCCCCAATCGAAAGACACGCCTATACTGGTGCCATCCCCCAATCGAAGGAAGCCAGAAAGTGCAGAAGCGAAGGGTCTTCTGCCTCAATCGAAAGACCTTCATTTTTCTTGCTTTTATTTCATTTTTGCCTTTATATTTTCATGCACTTCAATATGGTTGTAATAGTGTAGGATTTTATCTTTCTGCATTTTATTACTTTTGTATGCTTGTTAGTAAAATAGGAAATGTATGGCAAGATAAAAACAACAAGTAGATAACCCATAATCAAAGACTAAATGCATGTAAATCAAACACATTATTCACACATGTTCCCCTAGGGTTAACTCCACTTGTTTCCTAAAAATTGTCATGTTATGCATGTGAGACGTCTTAGCAAAAACAATCAAAATACAAGATCATAGTGCCTCGATGACGCTTCGAATGTTGCCTTACAAATGATCTTAGTCCCTCAAGAGAAATGTTAAGATATCTCACAATATTGCTATCATGACTATACGATGACCCACGCTCGTCCCTTCACATGCAACAATGGGGCTTCTTATCAAATCAATGGTAAGATAGAAACGTATAAAGGAGGAGGAAAAGAATGTTTAAGACCTTTTGAGTAGGTAGATTGCTCCTAGTTGCTCGCTTGCTCACAACAAAAACATTTTATACACCAACACTTTCATTTTGAAACATTTTCAAAAGACAACACTTTGTATGCGTTCTTATAGAGACGAGAATCATTACAAAGACACCTTTTCAAAATCACTTTCAAAAACAAACACTTATTTGAACTATTTTCCAAACAACACTTTGTATGCGTTCTTATAGAAATGAGAATCATTACAAAGGCACGTTTTCAAAATAATTTCAAAACCACACCACAAAGCACACTTTCAAACAAAAGCAAGTGATCTAGCAAGCAACTAAGAGCCCATAGATAACTATGAATGAAAAGGGTGCTAACACCGTCCCTTTTCATAATCTACCCCCCGAACTCAAGAAATAATCTCGAAAGGTCTTTCCTGTTCTTTTCAGCCTTTCCTTATTGCATAAAAGAAAAGTCGATGGCGACTCTTGCTATCCGCAACAATTGCGATCAAACGCAAAACATCCCAAGTCAGTTCTTCCACCGCGTTACGCTTTGATTTTCAGTTTGAGTCGACCAGAAGGGTCGACCTGATACATACAGGACTTTATTGAAGATGATGAGTCGACCGCACATATCTTTGAGTCGACGCACAGATTAGATTTTCTCAAAAATACTTGTTTTTGGAGATCTTCATTCCAATCATTTCATTGCAAGATTGTTCATAGGACTAACCCAAATAGAGAGAGATATCAATAGTCGTTTTAACATCATTAAAATACTTATAGAGGAACTTTTCTCTCACATACTTTGTGTATGTTAAATGCAAAAACAGAAAAATAAAGCCCCCCTCGTGACTTCCCTAAGATCAAGACCGCCGGTGGCACCTCCCTCTTCTACAACGACATCAGCCTTAGTGCGTTGCTTGATAATCATCCCTAAGAATCCTAAAGAATGATAAGTGAGGAAGTAAAAATAAAACCATGATTGTTACCTTTAAGAACCACAATGTCTGGTGTGCGATGAGGTCGAATCGCTTGAACATCAAGAAGGTCGTCAAAGAAGAAAGACAAATATTAGAAAGAAAAGTGTAGAAAAGTGTAGGGTTGTTAGCTGGGACTTTTTACGTACCTCAAATCTCAGCATATCAAGAAGAAGATTGAAGAAACACTTAATAGAATTTGGATGGTTCTATTGGTGCTTTTCGACATAGATGTTGAAGATTTTTTCGACCTGATTGTTTTAATGAAAGTGTAGAAGTTCCTATGTACGCAATAGTGTTTAGGACTTAGTAATTTTTAGAACAACATGAAGACCATTTCGACAAAGTCATTTGGAATGTGGAAAATGGCTAAATAACTATTTTTTAGCCTTATCTACATTGAAAGGATGTGTGGATACAAGTTTGGAAGCGAAACAGATGCAAATGAAGACGTGTTAATCTCTGAAGAAAGGACTGTTTATTATAGTTATTTAGATTTTAGTATAAATAGGAATTTTAGTGTTAGAATTCAGTGTGTCACATTTACTACAAAACTCAATACACTCAAAGTATCCGAGCAAAATGAAAAATGAGTTTGATTGAGTGCAACGTATGTATGCAAACCATTTTCATTTAATCTAAATTATTTTACGTTAAAGTTACTTTTCTGCATTTACTTTCATGTTTCAAACTTCGACCAATGTCGAAGCCCTTTTTATTTCCATCACTTTTACTTCATCTCTTGCATTTTACTTACAAGATTTCGCCTACGTCAAAATATTTGTCTTTTACACAAAATCATACAAACTCCAGAAAACTTTATGCACATATGCCCTAGGATCATCTAGTCGATTCTGCAAGTAACATTTCAGAAGACTAACGCTTGTTTACTAAATTTCACGGTAAACAAGGGTCGAGCGCAACTGAAGGAATATGGAGATACTTATGGTTTAACAGGAAGGAGGAGCAAAAGGAAGTTAGATTCTCCTTTTGACCTTTATATATTTGCAGCATGTGACCCCGCGATCGACGACCAAAGATTAAGGAAAATGCATTAATGCAAGCAACAATCCAAATTTAAAAACGATCATCTCACGACACTCGAGTACTATGGAAAATATATCACCTTTACCCCGAAACCTAGGGCCATGTGAAGGGTTTAGTGCGAAACATTTCTGATAGAATTCAAACATTAAATGTGCATGTTTCTTAGGCCTCCCACTCTCACTCAACATGTCTCCACCTCCGACTTTAAAAGAAGGACTTACCCAAGGGCATCAAGGCAGCTAGGAAGGTTGGTCTCGAGGTCGGTCTCAAAATGGTTATCGTAATCCTAGCTTTATAAATGATATCATGGACTTAGGGGGTGACAGTTCTCGATTAGCCACATGGTCCCATGATATCGGCTCAACTCCAACGACCCAATCATGAATATCCTCCGAAGGAATAGTGAATAGGTAGACCCTCTCTTATAGAGATCACACAATATATTTGGTTTGCTCGCCCATCTCAGTCATCGAATCCAATCGGAAGGTCTCTCGCAACTCATGCGGCAAGCAAGAGTAATTTAACTGCTTGTTGTATATAAGTCATGTCACGTGCCACATCAGGAACTTTGGACTCACTCTTGCAAATTTACATCTCTCTAACCTCATTGACTTGGACATAAGATTGTTAACCTTACACATCTCCACTTTACCGTATTGGAGGCCTGAACCATCGTATTGGAAGAGCTCAACATATACACGTCGTTGATTTATGTTCTACACTGAAATAATTTTTTATTGATAAGACTTTATATAAAATAAGGTACATTTTTACATTTTATATATGATGAGAGAGATACAATTAGAGGTATATCACACAAATCCAAGTCACACTTAGTACAGACACAATGTGGTGTCATTGTAACAACCCTTATGTCATTGTAACAACCCTTATATAATTAGGGTAGGTTTAGTCAGTCAAAAGATTTAGTCAGATATTTCATGTTAAAAATATCAGCATTTTTTGTTAATAAAAATATTTATGACATTTGAAGACACTACGATAGTGCCAGTAACAAGGGATTAAAATAATTTATAGGTTAAAAATTCAAACACACATGAAATGCCTATAAATAAAAACAAGAACATGAAATTCATTTAAATGATGATGAAAACTCTCAATCTGAACAATTGAGATCTTTAATTAGCACTGATGACAGTGATGAAGGAAGTGGAGAACTAGTATTTCAACAATTTAATTAAGTTGTTGGATTAGATAATGTATATCTAGAACTTGAAATGAAATTCAGTACAGTGCAAATGTTTAAATCTGCTCGGGGCGATTACACAATTCACTTAGGTAAGGAGAACAAATGGGTGAGCAAAGATCCTAAGAAAGCAAGAGTCAAATGCAAGAATGAAATGAGAAAGTTAACAAATAAATAAATCATCATCATTCATAAGGATACATTATAATCCTTAATCTAATATGCGTAGCACAAATCATAATCCTACTAAATACATAATTTATACACAATATACAATCAAAACTTAACGCCTAGAGAGGAGTATGATCCATCTTACTCACAACCTGCTTAAACAACAAGTTCTCCAATTCACCAGGTGGAGTAACTCCTTTCCTAATCAACATATCTACTGTAGGACATTTTCTCTTCACCCCTCCCCTTGGCCTTGACCTGAATTCTTCATCAGCTTCTTCAAAGTCACCCTATATATCAAGTAAAAATCTTGATCAGCATTTCAATTCAAACAATAATTCATCACAAATTCGTAAACAACGAGAACAAGCAACTGAACTTACAAGGGTAAAAAGATGTTTTGCCGTCTTTTCATGATTGTCTTTCACGTGTTTGTAAGCAAATCTCATGCCACAGTTACGAAATCCACACACAAAAGGCCTTACTTCAAAGTGTACTGCCTTCTCATGCTTTTGAAGATTAGATTTCTGTTGATGCAAACCCACAATTGGATATTCAAAGTTAATAAAATGACACCTAAAAAAATTAGAATTAAGCTAGCATGTATGCGTTGACAACAGAGGCGTCTTACAGTTGAGAATGTGCAGTCACAATCCTTGTGTTCACATTTAAAGGGTTCTGATGAAGAGCCGGTTTCGTGTGTACGGAGATGCCTTTTCATGTTCTTCTTCAGTTGCTTAGTCCCACAAGTGTCACAGGTTACATATTGATGGCAGGACTTAACATGAGCCTTAAGGCACTCAGAATTGGTGAAATGTTTCAAGCAACCCGGCTCTAAGCACAGCACGTCAACTGTCTCCAGCTTAACTGCATAATAAACACTTCATTAAAAATTGTGCCAACACAGTTCAGAAAATCAAAATAAATGACAATACTACAAACATTCCATGGAAAAATAGCAAATTCATATAGAAAAAACAAAAGAAAGAAAACATACCATGAGAATCTTCATGCTTCTGTAGCCGTGATGCATATCGAAAAACCTTTCCGCAACCAGTTTCAGGACATACAAACCGCTTCTGGTTTTCACCATTCCTAGCAGGTGTAGAATTTTCATCATGCATCTCGCCAAGATGTCTTTTCAAATTGCTTTGCAAAGAGAAATCACTTTTGCAATTCTCAACGGGACATTTGAAATTTTTCCCTTGATGCTGTAGAAGGTGACGATTCAAATGGTCCTTTCTTCTATAACTTGCATTACAATCCTCAAGGGTACATGCATATGGCCTCTGTAACAAATCACAAAAAACATATTAAAGCAAGAAAAATGAAAAGAAAGTAAAGAAAAAACTACCGATAAACCATGACAAGAACAAGAGAAACAAACACGTATGAACAAACTGCCAACCTTGTTTTGAATTGAGCGTGACCGAGGCATATCCTTGATGAAGCTTCTCAGGAGGTCTCCCAACCTGATACTAATCCATCAAGGCCAAATGTGATGCCTCGCGCATATTGGAGTTCTTTCTCTGAGATCCAAATGCTTCACACTATAATGTCCATAATTATATAGATCATTTTAGTGTCTAAAACATTACTTTCCTGCAGAAACATGTATCTTTAGTTCATCCATATTAATACTTTTCAACAACCCTAATGACAGAATAAATAAATTAAATTTGAAGTATAAACCATGAAAACTCAGAAGGCATAATTGAGACAGAAGAATGAAAAATGTCGTGAAGCAAATACCTCAAGAGAATGGCTTTGCATATGCTGCAACAAATAAGCATGTTTTTTGAAATTAGCACCACACTCCTCACATGTATTATCTTTCACATCAACCTCTGCTTCATGTTGAGATTCAACTTTAGCTTTCTCCAACTCTTCCTAAAATAGACATAAAAAATTGTCATCAGCAATCCAAAATACCATTTTAATCAATCACAAATACTTGAAATTCAACAAAAATGGTACCTTGTGTTGGGAATTGATGTGGGAGGTGATTAGGGTTTTTTTGGACCTAGAGATAGCGCAGTATGGGCAGAAATAGCGTCTAATATCACTGAACTTTGGTAATTCGTCGCAAAGCATAGCTTCCTCCATTGCTGAGAAATTGAAATAATCGATTTGAAGGCTTTGATCGCTGCGGAAGGTTGGAAATTGGTAAAAGGGGTGAAAGCGAAGCAGGTTATGGTGTTAACGGACTGCAAAAAGCATAGTAGACGGGGTGGAGAAGAAGAACGGAAAATATGAAAATAGGGTTATTAACAAGATTCGTAGCCGCGAGGGATTTAACATACCACTCCCAAATTATACACTGCACCCTCCATATTTTTTTATTCTCAAAAGGCCATTTTCACTATTTGTTTCTAAAATTTTTATATTTGTCAAAAATATTTGCTATTGATAAAAACGAATTTTGCAGTATTTTTAACAAATTTTCGGTGCTGAATTTTTGGTCTATATTAGAAATTCTTTATATTATATAAATTACATAAATTTTTGATAGATAACATAAAATCAAAAATTTAAAATTGTCGATATAAATTATCTAAGTAAAAGTTTAAAATAAAAAAAAAAACTCTCAATATTATCGAAAATTATAAATTTTCAGTTTTTTTAATTTAATGAAAATTTTAAAAATTTTGAAACATACAAAAATGATAGTTTTTGGTATCAAAAATTTTAAATTTTCAATTGAATATATACACCACGGTAAAAAATGATAATTTAACCGAAATTTCTAATATTCTATAGAAATTTCTAAAATGAAACCGTAAATTTTAAAAATTCTGATACTTTACAATAATTTTATAGTAAAAATATCTTTAATGAAGATGTAATGTATAAATGGGAGATGATATATTAAATCTTCGTATATGTGTTGAAGATGATAAACTCAATCAAGAAAATCCTACAGAAATTTTTTATCAAACAGGCTCAAATAGATTGAATTCTCTTAAATAAGTTTAATCAAAATTATAATATCTTTAAATTAAATTTTTAAATGAAACCAAAAATATATTGATAAACAAAATATTTACAAAAGAAACATGATAAACTATCAACATTAGTAAGCTTAAAAATATTCTTAATCTATTTTGTACAAAATTCTTCCTAATATCTACTATATGAATTCAAAAAGATTAGAGAATTGTAAATGAAATCTATGTTTGCAAAAAAATCATCTCAGAAATTCTCTTTTCTATAGGTATGAAAAATGAATATGTGTTTATGTGTAAAATAAGCTAGACAGGTAGTCCAATTGTTTCGAATTTGCAGAGAGGGTTTGTGAAATGCTTGCACTATAGTGCTTGAATCTGTTTCTATCCAAAGTTTATGTCAACTCCTTTTCATATCTATTTTCATTTCTCTGGCTACTACAACAAATTCGGCAAGGTATGAGGTGGATCAAATGATTTGGTCTGCAAAAGCCAAGACAAAATTAATATGTCTATTTCGAAAAATACCTTCACAATCGGTTGGAAGAAGATTGTCATCGTAAGTGTTGTCGCAATTGCATTTGATCGAATCACTTCAGTAAGATTGTATATAAATATAATGGTAGCTTTTAAGATCAATGTGTTGAAATATTTTATATTTAAATATTATTTAATTATTATATTTTAATAATTATTATGTAGGTAAATATATTTATATGAATTATATTAGTTATTTATTAAATTAAGAGTTTTAATTGATTAAGTAGTTAAATAAAATTTAAAAGACTAATTAAATTTCTATTAATTAATTAATTAATTAATTAGATATGAGCTCAAATATGAGTTAATGTCAGGATGATCCATTTTGGAATAATGGAAATCGTAATTGGTCATCATTAGGGATGTCAACTTGACCCATTAGCGGGGATTCCCTGTTTGGGGCCACAAATATGGGGAATTTTCTCCCTGCGAGAATGGGGATGAGAAATAAAGTTCTCCCGAAGACACTTTAGAGATGAGGGTCGCGAACATATCTCTGCCTCATAGAGTCTTTGTCTCACACTAGAATATCATCGTATCGTTAATTAATATATAATTTAATATTTCTATATAGGTGTTTGTCATTTCAAATAACTTATTTTATAAATAAATGTAAAACACATATGTAATGTTAATAAAAGAGAGATCTAAATGATTATTTTAATTTTTTTTAAGTTTGAAAATTTGGTGTCCATGAATCTCAAGATTAAATATTGTTAAAATAATATATTTATCGTAGATGATTAGTTTATTAATTTCTTGTGGTTGGTTTTTTAATTTTTCTATTAATTTAGTTAAAAACAATAAATAAAAATTTATGTTTATAGATCTTCGCCTCATTGACATCCCTAATCATCATATATATATATATATATATATATATATATATATATATATATATATATATATATATATATATATATATATATATATATATATATATATATATATATATATATATATATATATATATATATATATATATATATATATATATATATATATATATATATATATATATATATATATATATATATATATATATATATATATATATATATATATAAACTATGGTCCCTAATATACCGTACACAAGAAATTTATCTCTTCTCTCCATCTAAAGAGTGTTAAGGGCATTAAGAGTATTGGTTGAGAAAGATTCACAAGTCAACAAGTGTCGGTCACTTATCTCAACACTTTTGCGTTTCAAAATTATAATTATTATTGCCAAAAGACGTTTATCTTTTGGATCCAGGTATTCCTCAAATTTCATCTCTCATATACTAACATGTCTTAGATCTTGTAATTATATATATATGCTCATATTTATTTATTCTACTATGCACTAAAGTATATGGTATAATACGTAGAATATGTATATGTGATTAATTGTTACTGAATTAATTCTAACAAGTGGTTTCAAAATAGGTCTTTATTTTATTGACATTTGTCTGCTAAACATCAATGTTTTTTTTTTATCATAAAACATATATTTGGAATTCATGATATATATATATATATATATATATATATATATATATATATATATATATATATATATATATATATATATATATATATATATATATATATATATATATATATATATATATATATATATATATATATATATATATATATATATATATATATATATATATATATATATATATATATATATATATATATATATATATATATATATATATATATATATATATATATATATATATATATATATATATATATATATATATATATATATATATATATATATATATATAAGGCGTGAAGTTTTAATAATAATAATAATTTTTGAGTTTTTTTTTGTTACACTTACTATAAAGTTTATGGTTTTAGTGTTATAATTATTTTCAAAAATATTTATATGAATTTAGGATCTTCCATATCTTTTGTATGAATCCTTGAAAATAAATTTGGTTACAATATATATTTAAATGATATTTATTTTGGTGATCACATTTGAATTATAATTGTGATTTGAAAACTATAATGTCATGGTAAGGATCTATTTTAAGTTATAATTTCTAGAATTATATTTCTGATAATGAAAAGTTTTGAATTTGACATAAAAACTTATGATAAATATTTGTTTGAAAATTTAAATTAAAAATTTTTTTTTGAAGAAAAATATTTGTTTTCTTTGGGAGATAGAGTATGTTATTTAATACTTCCTCCGTCAGAGAAATTTATTTTTAGATTAATTGAATATTTAATGTATTTGTTCTATATATAGACCAAATACATTAATTATTCAATAAATCAATTTGAATTTCTCCTATAATATAGAACAAAAGGACTATATGGTATGCTAAATATATTTGAAATCAGATATATGATTATGATTAATGATTGAGAATCCTAGAATCTATTTTTTTTAAGTATTTTTAATTCTCAACATTTTATTTATGACTATAGATAAATATTTGTTAATATATATTCATGTCAGTTATTTGGGAAAGATAAATATTAAATTTAAATTTTATTTTAGTGATTTAATTCATGATTTTGAATTAAAAAAAAGGTTTTATTATCAAATCTTTTTATTTGATTTTTTAATTATTGTTTTATCTTTCAATTTGATTCACATAAAATTTTCACATGAATTTAGGTTTTGAGAGATAAGACAAATACTAATTTGTTTAATATATATTTAGTTATCATATATTATTTATGGAAATTTTTTGGATTCTTTAAATTCTGGAAACTTTGAATTTTGTAATTGATTTTGTTGATTCTAAAATAATATATTTAAAGAATTATTTGGTATATATGTGAATTTGATTGACATTTATTTTAGATATATAAATATTTAATATTTATCTGATTTGAAATTATAAATTTAGTATGATTATGTTATTTGAGTTTATTGTTATTAAGTCTTATACAATTTTTTTTAATAATGCAATTTGTATAAATTCATAAAACTTATGTTTTATTATGAGTTTGTTCTCACATTAAGGGTCGTTAAGTAATCTTATGATTATGAGGAATGCGACAAACTTAAAGATCCGGCTTATATTTTATGGGTAATGCCTTGTAAATTTTAGATTTTTTTTTCATTTAATTTATTAAATTGTCTAGTCATTTTGATTGAGATGGTTGAAACAAGTTGCAAAAGTAACATCTATTGCGTATATTAGATCTAGTTGAAATTACAACAGATGTAATATCATTTAAATATATATTGTAACCAAATTTGACTGAATAATTGCATAATAATTGCATATCTGTGATAGTGAATATGTGGTAATTATTAAGTTTTTTCCTCCACATGGATAATGGTTGGTGTCAAAGACATACATTATCTGACATGACTTATTATCAATGTTTGATCATTACGTTGAGAGTACCGCTTGCAATTAATTATTAGCATTCAAAGATTATGGATTAATGATGTGTTTGGTATCTTATTTTGTCTTATAAATTTACAATTATAAATGTACATGTCCCTATAATAATTTATTGACGTGCCTAATAAAGTAAGATCATGAAAGTATTCGGCGGATTATATTCACACCTATAATGGTAAACATGTGACAATTATAAGGATTTATTGTTTATCAATATTAATTGTCAGTGTTTGATCATTGTAACAAA